CGCTGGTGCTCTGTAGACACACACGCTCCCACACGAACATGCCTCTATAACTGTCACACATCTGCACGCCATGAGCTGCCCATCACGTCCAAATGGAACCAACTCTCAACTGGCCACAGAAACTCATCCAGGTGAGCAGAAGCTGCCATGAGAACTGCTTTTATTTTTTTGGCAAATGAAGGCTCAGCCACAGTTAATCTTCAGTCTGACACTGTCAGGAGAAAACACATCACTTCAGCAGCTTTTTCAGTGGCTCAGGGTCTGGCTGTTTTCTTCTACCACTCTGGGCACTGTAGCTCAGAGCACAAATCAAACTTGATTTCCTCCTTTGGTACTGCACAACAAAACGTAATGAGAATCTTTGCCTAGAGGAGGGGACAGGAGGCTGTCAGTCATCTTCACAGGACTGAACTTGGGGCTCTGGCTGCCGATGTGGACAGGGAGGAAATGTAAGCCCCTGCTTGTGGCTCCTTCTTGGATGACATGCTCCCAATCTGCTGGCTTTTGTTCAACTCCTATAATACTTTATTTCATTTTATTATTATGATAGTAATCATTTTTAGCACCACAGTGTTTTCCAAGAAGGACCATAAAGTGCTCTCTAAACACTAACGACTGCTTGCTTTACTTGGGGAATGATAACAACCTGCAATTTACCGAAGGGGAGACCTCGGCACAGGGATCAAGTTAAAGTTCAAGAAATACAACCCACCGGCCCTGCCTCCCAGGCCCCAAACATTATATCATGTTTTATCTTATCCCCCAAAGCTCATGTGTGGTCTTACTGTTTAAAGATAGCTGAAACAGGGCAGATGTGATTTCTGCCTCGTTTATTCCTTTTTAATAGCAGATTGAAAAAAAAAATCAAAAAACCCAAACCTTTTGGTTATTTAGTAGGTTGTCTAGAAGTGGCTCAAAATAAAATCAGTGTTTATAGAAAATGTTGAAAAATCTTCATTTTACGGCTAGGAAGATAGCTGTATAACACTTAATAAGAAACAAAGCTCTGAAAATGTAGTCATGTAGTAAGCTTGAAAATAAGCTCATTTAAAAGTGAATTTGGCAGAAACTGTGTCACTCCCTAAAGTTTCCAGATCTGCAAGATTTTAATCCATCCTGTGCCTTTTGCATTTATAATACGCATCCATGAATCTGTGGAGCTGGCTTGGGGGGAGCTGGGAAATGTTCCCCAGTTACAGTTGGATGCTATTAGAGTTATCTCTTGATATACTTTCATGTCATGGAGGTGATTTGAGTGGGGGTTTGCCTGAAATTTTAGAAATGCTATGGACAGTTGGGAGCCCAAAGCGTGAGTACATGCCTCCTCGCCACACACAGGCCATGCTAGCCAACAAATGCTCAGCTTGACATGCAAGTGTACATTCATCCAAGGCATGCAGATGAACATGCCCACACACAGTCAATTCCCAGACACAAACATCCACCCATAAGCAGATCAGACTAGCACACTAGGAGAGCCACACTGGCTCTGAAAATGTGTTCGTATATGCTCAGACACACACAAAACGACCCACATGTCTCCATCAACAACCACTCAGAACACAAACATGTTGCTTGCATACACATTTGCCTTCCCCTCACACACACATTCATGTCTATGCACTCGCCCATTGATCTGTAGCCCATCCAAAGACATTCAGGAAAAAATACTATACCCAGTGGAGCACACACCTAAAGACCCACACACGCACACTCACATATATCTTAACGAAGGTTTTGGTTTGGGAAATACCTTTTCAAAAAACAAAAAATATTGTCAAAAGTGAAAAAAATAAACAGCATGGGGAACAGCAGAAGTAGATGCAAGTGTACACACATACCACAGTACTTGTCAGCCAGAGTTCCCTCAGTAACCACAGCTATAGCACCTAAAACCGCCTGGATATGGTTCCTCTGAGCACAAATGTCTGGTGAACCTCAAGGAAATTTCAGGATCACACGGCCCCACGTCAAAACCTATGCCAGGTGTCTCCATATTCACTAACCGACCACAGTAAAGGCTGACCTTAGATCCAAGAGCAGCAACTTCCAAGATCCTACCACTAATGTTCTTCAGCTTCTAATGACTTGGGCAGAAACATCTTACCCGCACCTGACCAGGCTAAACATCTCCAATTAGTGGAGCTCGTTGATGTTTTGGGGTTTATTTTTTTCTTTCTTTTTCAGACTCCAGGTCTATTGGAACAAGACAGGACAGTGTACAGAGACACAAGGCAGGGTTTGCTCAAACCCACAAACAGCAAGAAAGCAACAAGCTCCTGAGGAGAAGGGAAGAAGTGCATCTGATAAACTGCCTCACTGCTTGGGAAGATGACAACTGCCCATCCAAGATGGGCTGATACTTCCAACACCCATCTGCTAAATATATAACATACCAAGTGCTGCCAGCAGGTAAGGGAATCCGACAGGACAAACCAACATACAATACATTCTCTTATTCAATAGGGTTATAAGTGCAAAGGGGTTTCAAAACATTTCAGAACAAACTCCATCCATAGCTGCTGCTCATTTATCAGTGCATCAAAAGATTGTGCAAGTTTTTAGTAACAAACGTTAGAAACTAGTAGCAAAGGACTTGCCTAGATAAAAAGAGAAGATTCAAACATGCCAGATAAAAAAAAAGTGTGCAGAAATCTGTAAAACTGTATAGAAGGAAAGGATTCTTTAGAGGAAACACAGGGACCATCCTGAAATGCTGTCCACAACCCTTCCTAAACAAGTACTGCTGCCTCCTCATCTAAGTCAGGCAACATTTTTTTAGACAGAGGCACACCCTCATTTTTCATAGACTTCTGCAGCAAAAAAATGGACTTTCAGCCTCAGCTAACAGGGAACTGAACTTGAATTTTGATACATAAAGGGAAAAAGACAGAGTCTCATCAGTGGTTATTACACACACCAATATGGATAGCCCTGGAGACTGAAGATCTGTGCGCAGGACTGCATAGCACAGTTAGCAGCAGCATGATCTGCTCTACAACATGCTGAGAATGGTTGCCAGTTACCTTGCTTAAATGTAGTGTCTAAGAGCTGAGTGTCTAGAGCAGTCTAACAACTTAAACACTCTACAGTCATTCTTTGGATGGGCACCTCCAAAAAGCAGTTCATCTCACCTCTCACAGACACTTACATAGGAAGGAATCAGCTGGCCTGTGGAAGTGTGTATTTCTACTAACAGTAAAAAAAAGCCTGGATGGATATCTTTCACTCAAAGGCTGAAATTTTGGGATATATATGTCAAAGTGCATCAAAACTTGATATAAGAAGTTCTTTAATTTATAGGAAATTACTCCAAATTTCTTCAAATGGATCCATTACATTTTCTTGCCATACAGCATTTTCACTTGGAAGACTTTTTGAGGTAGGTCTTCTTGATGCTAGGCATAAATTCATCTCCCACTAACAATAGCTATTTCCTCATGTATAATACTGTCTCTTTTGGTGAGATTTGAACATCTGCACACTCTCCAGGCTACCACCAGGTTTCTATTTTAGCTTTCTTCTGACAAGGATGACATATAAAAGGCTCTCATTTTGTTCTTTAAAATTAATTACTCGAGCTTGCTGATCATCTGAACTTCCCTCTATATTCTCAGCCCCACATTAATATCTTTCTAGTAAAGGTGCAATCAAAAACATCTACTACATTCTGAACAAAATTACAGCAGGAGACAGAACACTTAAGAGATGTTAAAAAAAAAGGTTCATTTTTATTTAGGGACTATTTTCCATTCTTTCAAAAGACAAGGAAAATAGAAGAAAATAAAATATTTTTCTGGTTCAAAATCACAATATTACAATTTGGAGAAAACTCCTTGCTTTAGAATTTAGAAAAATGAAGAAAGTTTTTAACAAAAAATAAAGTTCACCAAATTACCAGAGCATTTTTGTTCTAAATAAAGTATTTTGATCTTTTCAAAATGTTGTCTATAATTTCTCCCAAGAGTGAAAACTATGCTGTCATTTTTTTTCTTGCATTGTATTACCTCTATGGTAAACAACAATTCCAAGTTGGAATGTTTGTTCACTAGCCATATCATTTTGCAAATTCATAATGGATTTGCTCTACATTAAACATCCTCACAGCATTTTTTCAATCTTTCTACTTTCCTGGCTCCACTAAGCTGGATTAGTAGTGTTACTTCTGTCCATGCTCCTAAACCCGATGGGTCTTTTGCCCCTACTCGCAGTAAAGACAGAGGAAAAAAAATGTCTGATGTGATTTAATCTTTGAACACTAGCTGCTCATTTCAGTCTCCACGGCTCATTCAATCCTTCACCTGTCCACTGAGATGGGCATCACCATTAATTGTGTTGGTGGATTTTGTGAGATGGAGTAAACTGAACTGGACTTACTCACAGACACCTGTTTTTTCTTGGTGCTTTTTTTTTCTTATAAGGTATTTATTTTTTTTCAAGTTAGAAACTAAGTGTTAGGAGCAGGTTCCTCTAAATAGAGTTGATTTGGTCCTTATTTATTTTGGAGGAAGCCTGGGTGGGGTAGGAAGGGAGCACCAGACAGAAGGATTCTAGGTTTGGTTCCCACAGTTCCACCTCGAAAGAACTGACCTTTAGATCTCTGTGGGGTGGAGGGTATTGAACTGCCATGGGAAGCAAAGCATAACACTGGGTAGACCAAAGTGCTGGCCTGGGACTCTTCTAGCAACTTCCCATGGCACAAATCTCTTTTTCACTTACGCTCCACAATTCCCATCACTTTTCCTGCTATACAGTTTAATTCATGCCAGGCGGTTTATGAAGGAAAGAAAATGATGCAACAGTCAAAAAGTCCTTTAAGTCGTTCCAAATATTAAAACAGAAGGAAAAAAAAAGGAGAGAGAGAAAGCTTTAAAACTAAACAAAATGCTCTTAAAACAAACCCAAGAGAAAGGAGGAAGGGGGAGGAAAAATAAAAGAACCCGGGAAAGACAAATGAATGTTAGAGCAGGCACGATCATGGACAGACGCCAGCTACTTACGTTCACCTCGGTGATTGCTATATCAACAATGCTACCCACAACAATCAAGGCGTCAAATGTATTCCATGCATCACAGAAATAGTGCTGCATGTGGCAGAGAAGCCAAGGAAAGAGAGAGAGAAAGGAAGAGAAAGAAAGAAGAAGAGAGAGAAAGAAAGAGAGGGAGAGAAAGAGGGAAAAAAGGTAAAAAGTAAAATAAAATAAAATAAAAAACAAAACAAAACAAAAAAAGCATGAAAGAGGGAGAGAAGAGGAAAAAAATAAGAAAAGAAAGAGGTTATGTGGGCATATTAAATAGTCTCTTACCACTCTACAGTATTGGTTGCTCAAACCTCTGTAACGTTTCACATGATGGAGGGTATCAACAAAAGCCTGGTTAGTCAGAAAGTTACACTCAAGCATGTCTACCTTTTGGAGGGAAAAAAAAGCACACACACCCCAAACTCTGTGCGCTTTCACCAGTCACAGCCTCGGGGCGAGCTATGACAAGTGAAAAAGAAGGAGGTGTTTCCCCCCCTCCTTTTTTTTTCCCTGGGAGAAGGAGAAGGACGACGGCAATTTCAATAAAAGCATGACTAGAGGAAAAAAAACGATAAAAAATAAAAAAGAGAAAGAAGGAGAGAAAGAGAGAAGGAACAGCAGAGGAGGAGGAGGTGGTGGTGGTATCCTGGGGAGGGTAGAGTAATACTCACATTAGTTTCACTGAGAATGACGTCTATAATGCTGCCAATTACGATGAGGAAGTCAAAAACATTCCAAGGATCACTAAAGTAACCCTACATAAGGAAGGGGCAGGCAGGATGGGGATTAAAAAGGAATGTTAGACAGACAAAAACAGTTCAAAATTACCATTAGAATTTCTGCCCTGACACCTCAAGTGGTATTCCTCTTAAATCTACTTGTTGCATCTCAAGCTGCCGGCCAGTGCTCACATCCCTGGCTTGTGCGAGCAGCCCTTTCCAGCTAATGTGCCCCAGGCCAGTAACTGCTTCCCTCTGCCTCTGAGAAGGGGCTGAAGGGAAGCTACACGGATGTCCTCGAGCATGGAGAAGGGGCTGCAGGACCAGCTCCTCTGGACATCTCCAATTCCTACCAGCATACGGCCTTTCCCCGTTTCACATGGGTTTAGCTTTGGTTTGGGGAAGAGTGCGGGGAAGTGCCACGCCATCTCAAAAAAATCGCTCCCCTTCTCCCAGTGAGAATAAAGCCACCAGTCTGTACGTTGTATGTGAGGCTTGTGCGCTCGCACTAACAAGGACCAGGTGCCCCGTGTCAACCGAGGGCACTCCTGAGCAAGGGCACGTGCTCGCTAAAGCTCACTGGTTGTCATGTTTCTTTTTTACCCAGCCACAACGCATATTATGACAGCTATTAGCCTAAAATTTCTATTGCTAATGTCCTAGTCCCTTTCTTAAACTACACGGACAGGCTGGTATTTTTGTTACTCTGAAAGCACTTCTGCACTGCAAAATGACAGTGTGAATGTAGCACGTGGCAGTGTATCCTGCAGGAAGGGGTAAAGATGGAACCAAAGTTGGCCTTAGCATGTGCTCAGAACAAGTCATGTTGCTAACTCATGCTAGTGACTGTGCCCCTGCACTACTGAGACATAAGCTGTCTACAGTGTGCTATGGTAGAGCTTCTAGCATATGCTAAACTCCCACCTTCATTTTCCTGTGCAGAAGTAGCTTGCATGATGCATCTCCTGTCCTCAGCAGCACTCAGAAGCAGCTTATCTGCACTGCTTGCCTTCCCCATCCTGCATAACTTTTTGCTGAATGTACCATGAGGATACAAAATCCTTAAAAAAAAAAAGCCCTGCTCAGCCTGGAAGAAAAGCTTCTCTTTGTCTGCTTCCTGTTCAAGTTAATATCATAAGCAAAGAAATTTTATCTTGGCTTACAAAATACCTTTGCACACCTCTTCCCTTGTTCTACGGTTCTGAAATGAGCAAACAGACCAAACTTTCTGTGCTCCTTTTTCGTGTTTTGGCTTTGCGAGCACAGGCTAATCTGACCTCCTTGTTTCCCAGCTGTGGCATGTCTCCAGTGAGACTGAACCCAAGCTGCACTGCGACTGCTATTCTTAGCCAGAGAGTCAGGTCATGGGTAAACTGTGAGCCTGTGTTCCCAGGCAGTGCTGCAGAACGCAAAAAGCAGGGCTGGGAGTGGGGGCGAATCCCAGCACTGGCACTGCAGAAGCCAGGCTTGGGAACCTGCAATTACTGTGGGCTCGGCTAATGCCTGCAGCAGACACTGGCAAAAGGTTTCTTTCTAAACTTTGAGACACTGCTGACCAGATGCTTTGGAGACTGATGGCTGCAAGCTGTGTTATACATGAGCAGGAAAGAAAAAAAAGGTGGCAGAGAAAGATACTGCCCAACTGGTTTCACACCTGTGAAGGGGGCTGGTAGGGAGGACTTCGAAAAGCCCTGTATTTTGCCTGGAATAGGTAACTTAACAGGTAACTTAACACTGCGAGGAGAAATCATCCCATGACTACTCATCACTACACAATTAACTACAACAGGGAGGAAGGAAACAGAAGCAAAAGCAAATTCAGAGAATATTATTATTCAGCATCCAGCCTAGAAAATACATAACATTTATTAGAATGAATTCAGCGGTGATGTCCAGCATCGTTAGCAACCAGATGGACCTGGAAAAAAACTGTAATTAGAGGAAGGGGAGGGAGAGAATGGCAGATTAAACTGTAGAGGCACACGCATTTTAATAAATAAAGGACAGACACAGATCATACAGAGTTGCAAAAAGTGCCATTGCAGCCTGATACGACCTTGGCAGAGAAGACACTTGCAGAATCAAAGAGAATGGAGTAGAAGACAACAGGCCCAATCCTCCTGCCCCTGTTTTTGGGAACAACTAAGGATTTCAGCAGTAATGTAAACAACTACAGGAAAAACAGAGTTTGCTTTTGGGCAGCTGCAAGGGTGAAGATTAGAAACAAGTTGTGCGGGGTTTCACCCATAAAAATTAAGGCTTTTAAATCTGTGGTGATGGATACATTGTGATTTTTATTAGCTGCATGATACTAATCATATAGCAAATAATATTTTTGGGGTAACCAAATTAACAATTTCTTTTTACTGAGCAACTCTGGACGCAGAGCCCTACAGCCGTGACTGCTGTTACAACTGCATTTCATTTTGGTACAAAACCAGATTGACAAGTGACATCAAATTCTGTCCATAGATGACCACGGAATCCACCGAGTTAAATTCTGCTTCCTGATGCAGTAATGTAACCTCACTGAAAGCAGTGGCATTATGCTGACACAGGTGGCACATCTAAGGAGAGATTCTGACCTGGAAAGAAAAGGTCCCCTTCTCATTGCCATTGCAGATACAGAATTTGGACCTTTGTGAGATCACAGCATATGTGGAGCCACTCTGCTAACTTCTGTGGAATTGCTCCAGATTTGCCCTTTGAGTTCTTTCCCCAGGGACGCTCTGCTGAGTCTCATCAGCCAGGTTCTTGCTTTGAAAGCCACGGGCTGGTCCGTGAGGCAGTCACAGAAGGAACACTATCCTGGTACGCTACTGCTCGGCTGCCAGGTGGACTCAGAGAACCCTTCTCTTCCTCCTGTACTCTCATAGGAGTGATAGAGAGGAACCATGGACATGAATGCAGTTTTATTCAACCCCATATCCAATGCACTAGTGTTGAATTAAGAAAATGCATGAATTTTAAAACATTCCTTTCCTCCTCACCTCCTCCCTCTGTATTTCACACAGAAGGGTAAAAATTAAGAAGATATGCACAGTAATAGAGCTCAAAGAAAACAGAGTACATAGACGCCTCATTCATGTGCAAGTTAAAGGAGTCTTTCCTTAAAAAGCCACCCTCCTTAGAGACATTTACCTACGAATGACCATGTGATTACTTAGCTTTGGATCAGACCTCATAATTTTGTCAAGAGTTATGAGTACACACAGAGAGTGAACTAGACCTCTGGGGATTTGCATCTTGTGACCTCAAAGTACCTCTTAAAGCCACATTCCTCACTGGAGTGTACCAGGGTGGCTAACGAAAGACAAGCTGAACGAAGGAAGAGGTTTCACTCTAATAAAGAGATTGTATTTCCAAACGATTTTTCCCACCAGAAAGTTCCGTATACTTTTCCCAAGGGGGTGGAGGTCTGACTGGAAGTGAATTGATGGCACTGTTTGTTTTTGCAGTACAGGAATTCAGAGTGTAATACCATATTTTACCCTTAAAGGGAGATGCTTGACACTGACTTAGCAGTATAATTACATATCATACTATGGCAGCCCCAGGGCTTATTGGGGAATGGTAGTTGCCCTCTCTTATGGGAGTTCTCTGGAGACTCATGAAGCTTTTGGGGAGAAAGGAGGACAGAAAGAGACCAGGAGGATTGGACTGAATATTCAAGAAACATGAAAATACCTTACCATCAGAGCACATTTTTCCCCATTTTTTGTTTCCTCAAAGATAGCCAAGGATAGTGAGTCACCACATGATCAATAAGTTAATGAAAGGCTGAGCATAAATATGCAGCAGCTGACTGGAATGGAATCTCATTTGTGTGAGGGGAGCAGACATTGTATCATTTCAGAATGAATATGCCAATCATTTTAGGTTTCCTAATTGCTGAGGTTAGCTATCAAAGATTCTGGGGATTGTTTTGATACAAATGGAGCTACTGAAATCTCTGGAGACCGTTTCTTTTACCTCCTGTGAATATGAGATCCTAAATGCAGTATCCAAGAAACCGCGTTAACAGTAGGAAAAATTGCCCACTGGAGTCTGTCTGAAGGTCTGAACTCAGAGTCACCTGGGCCCATAATAAGAGTGCACTGCTGCTGGAGTGCTGTATGGCTATGCTGAAGGCAAAAATCCCTAGGAGGAGGCTCTTGGAATCGTGGTACCCTCTGGATTATGAAAATCCAGCCCTGTGGGAGTTGCAGGGTCACCTCTATGTTAATTGATGTACAGTTATTTGTGTGCTTAGTCATGGGTTTTCATTTGCATCTCTTACTAGGTGGTTAGTGAGAATTAACAAATCCCTCAGTGAAAAGCCTCTCAAGATGAAGGACACAGTGA